GAATTGTCACGTAACAGGGCCTGTCTGTAGGCCTGTGTCATGTCATGAGGCCTATTAGGCTTCAATGTACAACAAACCTTATGCTCAAGCCAAGCCCAAAAGCTTGTTTAACAGGGTGAGGAATATAGCCTCCAGGAATTGCAAGCAGTTGAAATTTCACTGGACAACTGGTTTTAGCTAGTCAGTCATGCTATATAGTCCTCATCCAAGCTAAAACAAGACAGTAAGTCATTGAAAAATGAGGTAGATACAAACTTAGAGCTAATCAATCCAGTACCTCTATAAGAAAGCTTCTTGCACTTTATATATCAGGTACACCTTTTTGAATCATCCTGTATATGCCTCTTACAGAATACCTGCCAGCATCTATTCCTGACATGGAACCAAAAGGACTAAAAAATTTGCTCATGGTAAACTCTCTCCCCAAGAGAATAGTAAGTAACCATATCCCTCAGTGGCTGTGGAGATTTCTCAAGCCAAAGACTACTAAGCAAAAGTGTCATACAATGCGACTTACCATGGTGAGAGTCATGCGATCAATCTCGTGTTTGTTTTTGGTTTTGTGTTGTCGGAAGGGGCTATGGCCCTTGAGCAGCTTGTAAAGCATACATCCAAAAGAGAACCAGTCTGCACTTGAATCATATGCAGTTCCCTTTGACAGGACCTCTGGAGCCATATATCCATGAGTGCCACTAGAGAGCAAGGAAAAATAATACATACATACTTTCCTTGATACATATACTCATCAGAAATAGGACATGAGGTAACTGCACTCACACAGAGGCATGAGGCTTCTTCTTGGAAAAATCACAGGCAAGACCAAGATCAGAGATTCGCACATGGCCATGCTCATCCAAGAGGATGTTTGCTGGTTTCAGATCACGATACACAATGAATCTTCTATGCATATGCTCAAGACCTGCAAAATCAGATATAATCCACACCCATCAACCCAACCACTAGTGCCTGTTCATCAAAATATTAGAATATAAAGCAAATTTAATTCTGTCGATACATTCCCATTAGATTACACGGTCTGAAAACAACCTCTGTTGGGAACTGAACTTACCCAAGATCACTTCTGCAGCATAGAAGCGCATGTCAGATTCATTGAAGACCCCATGCTGAGAAAGATGGTAATGGAGATCCCCCCCATTCATTAGGTCCAAGATGAAACAGAGCTTGTCTTGGGTATGGAATGCATACGTCATGCATACAATGAATGGGCAATCAGCCTGGAAAAATCAATCTTGTAAATATAAATA